ATATCTTGTCATGGTTACATAGTTAAGTTTCCATAGTTACAGAATAAATTGTTATTCCATTGGCAGAACAGCTGATTACAAAGTACAAAGACAGCGCAAAAGGTCCATCTTTTGTACTTATTTCAGGCAATTGAATTATCTTTTGGTTTTCCTAGATGATGATCCGATCAGGATTGGGTTTTCCAGGTTTTAGAGCAAAATGGCAGAAAGAAAATACGATTCATTCAATAATTAATATCCCAGAACACCAAACTTCTTTTTAAAGCCTACTGTGAAACATTGAGGTAGGGTTTGTTTCATTTGTATAGTGCTCGACTCTCTTTTGAAAAAATATTGTGAGGCAATAGTTAAGCTCAAATGAGAGTTAAAGAATATTTTACTATTGTAACTACCCATGAAATATAGTGGTAAAATATACTGAATCTTGTTATAATGTATAGAAATAATCTACGTAGATGAATTCATAGCCCCAGATATCTAACTATTTGTTTAATCTAAATATTTTTATTGTTCCATCAAGATAGCATGTAAGAAGAGTCTGAATCAGAGGTGGGTTGCTCCCGGTTCGGCCCGGATTGGCTGAACCGGTAACAGCCGCGGTGGGAGGCTCCGCCCACCCACCTGGATGCTTCTGCACATGCGCGGGAGCACTCCCAAACCAGTAGTAAAAAAATTGGCAACCCACCACTGGTGTGAATCTAGGCAGAAATATGGCAGCCAATAATTATATTGTATATAAATAGTGGTGGGTTCCTACCGGTTCGGACCGGTACAGCTGAACTGGTAGTAGTTTGGTGGCCTGGGTCGCTGGAAGCAGCAGCGACCCAGACCTGTCATGCACCAAACCAGTTCTCCGGGCGGTGCCATAGGCACCCCCATCTTGTTTTTTGCTTCTGCGCATGCATAGAACAATTGTTATTGCACTGTGTATGCCCACATAGCGTGCCCACGAGTGAACCGGCAGTGCCTGCGGGAACTCACCCTTGTATGTAAACATAATTGGGCAAAGAGTGTGGGGAAACTTAGATCCAACCAGAGAAAAAGATCATCTCAAGTAAATAAAGGCATGGTCCTCAAACAGAAAGAAGGGCTTTTTATCAGGGATAGTTTCGAATAGTAAGATTATAAACATGGCTAAAACATAGCATATTTACCAGAAAATGTTAGATCATTTATAGAAGTGGTCCTGTGTATTTTGATAATGGCCATTGGGAGCAACAGTGTATTAAAGGCTACTAGCATTTTAGCAATATGGTGAAGATGATGGAATTTGCTGAGATGGATAAATTGACTTTTTTCATCAGAGAAAGATTAATATCTATGTTTATTGCTGACTAGAAACCTCTTATGGG